GTCTGGAGAGGGCTCAGGCAGATCACCAACTACAAGCCCAGAGCCCCCCACACCTCTAACGACTCCCGCCTGGCCAACGACCTGAACGAGTTCTACTGCAGATTTGAAAGACAATTGGACTGTTCCTGAACTACCCCTTCGCACCCAAGAGGCCCCATCCCCCACCCCTACTACAGAGACGACTCTCTCCGTTAAGGAGGGAGAAGTTAATAGACTTTTCAAGAGGCAGAACCCACGCAAAGCAGCTGGACCGGACTCTGTCTCTCCAGCCACCCTCAGGCACTGCGCTGACCAGCTGTCTCCGGTGTTCACCAACATCTTTAACACCTCCCTGGAGACATGCCATGTACTAGCCTGTCTCAAGTCCTCCACCATCATCCTTGTGCTCAAAAAGCTAAGGCCAACAGGACTAAATGATTATAGACCGGTCGCCCTTACCTCTGTGGTAATGAAGTCTTTTGAGCGCCTGGTCCTGGCACACCTCAAAGCCATTACAGACCCTCTCCTGGACCCCCTTCAGTTTGCCTACAGAGCCAACAGGTCTGTGGACGACGCAGTTAACATGGCCCTCCACTTCACCCTACAGCATCTGGACCCCCCAGCATCCTACGCTAGGATCCTGTTTGTGGACTTCAGCTCTGCCTTCAACACCATCATTCCTGCCCTGCTTCAGGACAAGTTCTTCCAGCTGAACGTGCCCGACTCCACCTGCAGGTGGATCACACACTTCCTGTCTGACAGGAAGCAGTACGTTAAGCTGGGAACACAAGTCTCTGACTCCAGGTCCATCAGCACCGGAACTCCTCAGGGCTGCGTCCTTTCCCCACTGCTCTTCTCCCTGTACACCAACAGCTGCACCTCCAATCATCTGTCCGTCAAACTCTTGAAGTTTGCGGACGACACCACCCTAATTGGGCTGATCTCTGGTGGGGATGAGTCTTATTGTAGCTGGGAAGCTGACAACCTGGTGACCTGGTGTAGCCAGAACTTAGAGCTGAATGCTCTGAAGACAGTTGAGATGGTTGTGGACTTAAGGAAGAATACAGCCCCACTCACCCCCATCACCCTGTGCGACTCCCCAGTCAAAACTGTAGAGTCCTTCCGCTTCCTGGGCACTATTCTCTCCCGGGACCTCAAGTGGGAACTGAACATCAGCTCCCTCACCAAGAGAGCTCAACAGAGGATGTACTTCCTACGGCAGCTGAAGAAATTCAACCTGCCAAAGACAATGATGGTGCACTTCTATACAGCGATCATTGAATCCATCCTCACCTGCTCCATAACCGTCTGGTACGCTGCTGCCACTGCCAAGGACAAGAGCAGACTGCAGCGTATCATCCACACTGCTGAGAAGGTAATTGCCTGCAATCTACCAACCCTCGAGGACCTGCACACCACGAGGACCATGAGGTGAGCGAGGAAGATTGTGGCCGATTCCTCCCACCCTGGACACTCTCTGTTCCAGCTACTCCACTCCGGCAGAAGGCTGCGGTCCATCAGGACCAAAACCTCACGCCACAAAAACAGTTTCTTCCCATCTGCTGCTGGCCTCTTCAACAAGGCCAAGGGCTTACACTGACTTGAACATTTTATCTACAAAATGACACCCTGCCATAATTACACTGTTACCCTATTTGTATTTTTAGATTGTATCTTATAGCTACTTTATATTCAATATTTATTCAAAATTTTACATACTTTAGCCCCTCAGTGTTAGTTAGACCTTGTACCTTTAGTATAGTTTAACTTGTATACCACTTATTTAAGATTTATGATTCCTATATGTTGAATGTATGCACCTTCCTGCCAAAGTAAATTCCTTTTCTGTGCGAACTTTCATGGCGAATAAAACCCTTTCTGATTCTGATTCTGAGCTAGTAGGGTGGTGGTGAGCTGGTAGGGTGGTGGTGAGCTGGTAGGGTGGTGGTGAGCTGGTAGGGTGGTGGTGAGCTGGTAGGGTGGTGGTGAGTCTCTAGGGTGGTGGTGAGCTGAGCAGGTGAGTGTTAGTCGGAGGCAGTGAACCTTGTGCCTTGTGGTTAGGGGCCAGGTGGAGAATTGTGGTCGTGCTAAATTGATGGTCAACGGTTTGCCAAATTATAGCATGAGACAGCCACTCGGTGTGTTGACGCCAGTCCAAAGTTTTCTCCTCGAATGGGGCTCCTCTCAAATTTTCATTCCACTCCCCTTGTGCATCGCTCGGAGATGTTAACTACCTCGCCTGGTACACAGGAGGTTGTGGGCTCGACCCCACAGTGGCTAGGAGATGTTGACTACCTCCCCTGGTATACAGGAGGTCGTGGGCTCGATCCCACAATGGCTAGGAGATGTTAACTACCTCGCCTGGTACACAGGAGGTCGTGGGTTCGATCCCATGGTGGCTATGAGATGTTAACTACCTCTCCTGGTATACAGGAGGTCGTGGGCTCGACCGCACGGTGGCTAGGAGATGTTGACTACCTCGCCTGGTACACAGGAGGTCGTGGGCTCGATCCCACGTTGGCTAGGAGATGTTGACTACCTCGCCTGGTACACAGGAGGTCGTGGGCTCAACCTCACGGTGGCTAGGAGATGTTAACTACCTCGCCTGGTACACAGGAGGACGTGGGCTCAACCCCACAATGGCTAGGAGATGTTGACTACCTCGCCCGGTACACAGGCGGTCGTGGGCTCGACCCCACAATGGCTAAGAGATGTTGACTACCTCGCCTGGTATACAGGAGGTCGTGGATTCGATCCCAACCCTTGATGCCTGCTGCTGCTGCATATTTGGAATTTGCGGGGTCTCTCTCCTCGTGGTCGCGTGGATTTTTCTCCGGGTCCTCCGGTTCTCCCCCCCCCCCCCCCCCCCCCCACATTTAGACTTCACATCGCGCATTCAGAGAATTTGCCAACTGCTAAGTAGATCCGTCATTTGCGGCCAAGTGGCCTCTTAAAAAAATGTATCGCTCCGTAGCTCAGTGGGGCCTTACGCCTCGTAAAATAAAAGATAAATAGTTTAGTGTTGGTTTTAAGACCGCCGGCGCGCCTATCTCTCGCGCGACATCCCAGAAATGTATTTCTTTGAAACTTGGACCTGGCGCACCATATAAACCACATTTTTTCGGGGGGCGGCGAGGTCAAAATCCTGCCGGTTCACCCGTTCCACGGCAGATAACAGGGGCGCCTTGGAGGACGAGAGAGAGAGAGATACAATGTGTGCACCTGCCGGCTCCAGATACGGGCGCCACGGTGGCTAGGAGATGTTAATTACCTCGCCTGGTCTACAGGACGTCGTGGGTTCCATCCCGACACTGACGCCTGCTACTGTATATTTGGAGTTTGCATGTCTCTCTCTCATCATCATCACGGTGGCTCAGAGATGTTAACTACTTCGCCCTGTATATAGGAGGTCAGGGGTTCAATCCTGACCCTGACGCCTGCTGTTGTATATTTGAAGTTTGCGTGTCTCTCTCTCTCTCTGATCATCATCACGATGGCTAGGAGATGTTAACTACCTCGCCTGGTCTACAGGAGGTCGTGGGTTCTATCGCGCCCCTGACGCCTGCTGCTGTATATTTGGAGTTTGCGTGTCTCTCTCTCATCATCATCACGGTGGCTATGAGATGTCAACTACCTCGCCCGGTATACAGGAGGTCGTGGTTTCGATCCCGACACTGATGCCTGCTGTTTATTTGGGGCTTGCGTCTTTCTCTCTCTCCCCGTGATCGCGTGGATTTATCTCCGGGTGCTCCGTTTTTTTTCCCCCTCCACATTTAGAATCAACATCACCACGCGTTCAGAGTGATTTGGCTGCTGCTGTGATGATGATGATGGTGGTGATAAGCCGCCCACTCCGTTGAGCAGCTACCATTTGCGATAGCCCCGGGCCGCTCCTGAAAGAGAGCTGCCTAGCTCCGTGGGGCCTTACCTGGTAAGCAATAAAAATAGTTTGTTGTTGAATACGTTATGCAACCGGCACAATTCGATCATGAAATAGAGGGGAATGGGGGGGGGGCGTTGGTTGGAAGGGTGGGTGGACAGGTGGGTGGGTTCGCTGGCATCGGATTGGTGGGTGTGGGTGGGTGGAGAGGTGGGTGGGTGGGTTCGTGCGTTGGTTTGGTGGGTGGGTGCAGAGGTGGGTGGGTGGGTGGGTTCGCGTGTTGGTTGGGTGGGTGGGTGGACAGGTGTGTGGGTGGGTGGGTTCGTGTATTAGTTGGGTGGGTGGACAGGTGGGTGGGTGGGTTCGCGTGTTGGTTGGGTGGGCGGGTGGACAGGTGTGTGGGTAGGTGGGTTCGTGTATTAGTTGGGTGGGTGGGTGGACAGGTGGGTGGGTGGGTTCGCGTGTATTAGTTGGGTGGGTGGGTGGACAGGTGTGTGGGTGGGTTCGTGTATTAGTTGGGTGGGCGGGTGGACAGGTGTGCGGGCGGGTTCGTGTATTAGTTGGGTGGGTGGGTGGACAGGTGTGTGGGTGGGTGGGTTCGCGTGTTGGTTGGGTGGGTGGGTGGACAGGTGTGTGGGTGGGTTCGTGTATTAGTTGGTTGGGTGGGTGGGTGGACAGGTGGGTGGGTGGGTTCGCATGTTGGTTGGGTGGGCGGGTGGACAGGTGTGTGGGTGGGTGGGTTCGTGTATTAGTTGGGTGGGTGGGTGGACAGGTGGGTGGGTGGGTTCGTGTATTAGTTGGGTGGGTGGGTGGACAGGTGGGTGGGTGGGTTCGCGTGTTGGTTGGGTGGGCGGGTGGGTGGACAGGTGTGTGGGTGGGTGGGTTCGTGTATTAGTTGGGTGGGCGGGTGGACAGGTGTGCGGGTGGGTGGGTTCGCGTGTTAGTTGGTTGGGTGGGCTTGTGGCACAGGTGTGCGGGTGGTCGGGCATCGGGTGCGTGGCTGACGTCAAACAGCGGGAGGGATGGACGGAGGGGGTCGCTATTTGAGCGGGCGGGGGCGTCGTCTTTGACGGCGGGGGGGGGGGGGGCCAGAGGATAAATACCACAGACCACCCCGCACCGGGCCTCTGCCAAGCTCCTCGCTCGCAAACCAACGGCACCGCCGCTCCGACTCCCAAGCGGCGCGAGCTCGCTGTCCCACCGGCCGTCGCCAAGTCGCGCTTCGCGAGCGATTCGGAGCGAGCCATGGGCGGCGGAGATGGCCGCAGCAGCCGCAGCAGCCGCAGCAGCAGCAGCAGCAGCGACGGGTCGAGCGAGCACGGCGCCGGCGGCGGGAGGAAGAAGCGCCGCTCGTGGAGCCGGCTGGAGATCGCGCTGACGGCGACCGGCTGCCTGCTCGTGGTGGCCTGCGCGGCTCTCATCGCCGTCGCCTGGCTGGCCGTGGAGGACAGCAAGCAGAGCAGCAAGACAGGTCACCGATATGACGCGTTTTATAATCGGGCGGCGGCGGCGGCGGCGGCGGCGGCGATGCTGGCGCTACCGACGAATTGCCCAAGTTCTGCGGTCCTCTACATGTGCTGAGACGTTATCGGCCGCATGGGTGTTTATATTTGCGCTCGGGAATAACTCGCGCGTGCGTGCGAGGGAGAAACGCTCTATCCCGCACTTGTAGAGTCCTTATCATGGGGCACCTTTTTTGTTTGTCAGTATCAAGGTATAAAAAATAATGTTGTTTTAACGGGAGCTGCGGTAAGATGTTCAAACACCAAACGAATACCTTTTTTTCCAGGGATTAAGTACTGCATTAACCACACACAGTGCTTGTGGCGAGCATGCAAACAAACATGCTCTGATAATATTTGCATTGTCTTTGAAACTGGTTGGCCTACACCAGATAGCGTATATTATAATATAAAATATATTATGCATCTATTATAATACTACCCTGGAGCAAAAATTGCGTTACATAGTGTTTTAAATTTTGATTTAAAGCTTTTGTGACTGCAGTGATTCATATTCTTGGTTCTTTCGGTAAAGTCACGTTGAAGGGAAACAATAAAATAATGAAAAAATATATTGTTATATATTTCATTGTTTTATTGCTTCCCTTCAACGTGACTTCACATAGTGTTATCAGTTCCAAATACAATGCATGTATTATCCGAGCATGTTTGCTTTGCGTGTTCACAACAAGTAAGCATGGTTAATGCAGAATTGATTCCTTGCCTATTTGGCGTCTGAACATCTTATCGACATCTCCTGCGTAATTGCCAGCCAGGGTACAAAGCTCTTCCGTTGTTTCAGACTTTGATAACTGGCAAAAAAGGCAGGTGGCCAGTGATAAGGGCTCTACCTGTGCGGGATAGAGTGATCCTCCCTCGCACGTACGCGTGAGCTGTGGTCTCTGAGAGCCCTCGTGTCCTCCCGCCGCGTGGATGTAAACACTCATGTGGCCGATAGCATCTCAGTATATGTAGAGGACCACTACAGCGTGGTTATGATGTTTTTTAAAATCTCAATTCTGTAAAAATTTTCTTTACATTTTTAATTGTCATCTGAAAACGAGTGGGGGGTACAGATATGAATATAGATAGCAGATTAAAACAAATTTACAAAGTTAAGAAACTATTAAAATGTTTTAATTCCAATATTAAAATAAATATACTGTTGCTGTAATAACCCAATGTGTCCTAACTTTTGGGCCACCCTGTATATTAATAACCTTATTTGTGCTAACTTTTGGGCCACCCTGTACAATAATAACCCAATGTGACCTGACTTTTGGCCACCCTATATAACCATAACCCTACGTATTCTGACTTTTGGGCCACCCTGTATAACAACAACAACAACAACCCTATGTGTCCTGACGTTTGGGCCACTCTGTATATTAACAGCCCTATGTGTCCTAACTTTTGGGCCACCCCGTATAATAATAACCCTATGTGTCCTGACTTTTGGGCCACCCTGTATAATAACAACAACAACCCAATGTGTCCTGACTTTTGGGCCAGCCTGTATGAACAATCAAACCATAGGAACAAATATACATGCCATCGAAGGAATTTAAACAGAGATGATCCGTGGGATCGTCAGTCCAGCGGCGGACCTGCCAGCCCATAACCATTACACTCACGGAACTGTGGTAGCTTCACATTTATCGCCACCATAAAACACCTCGTGCAATGCGTTAAACGCCTCAAATCACTGCACCTGAAATGAGTTAAATGATGACGTCACCCTGCTGCTGCTCTATTTAAGACCGGGAGCAAGCGAGGGCATTACCATTCTGGCGAATTGCCCGATGATGCTGGATGCAATTACCAGCGTAACGTCGTGCTACTCAAACTGTAAATGTTGTGGATTCACTCTTCAACACACCGGTGGGCTAAAGTAGTGATCTATTTGTCTTTTGTCAGCGTGACACTTTTTTTGCTGATTGGCCGTGTCGGGTGGTGGAGGGTTACGACACATTTATAAATAACGCGATCTAACCCAAAAAACCTGTATTATGAAGATAGCTAAGAGTTGACATTTGTAGATAGCTAAGAGTCCCCCTTTCGAAGTGATGCTTTTGTCATCCACCCACATTGCCCGGCATGGATTCGATCTCACAGGTCTCGTGGAAGCCCCAAATCATTGAGGTCTCCGTAGGGTAACATACGTCCGAACGACGTTTAAATGTCAGTGATAACGCCGCTCGTGCGATTGTGGTTGTGTGTGTGGCCTTCATAGGAAAACATATATAGTAGGCGACTTTCCTTCATAGCACAGAAAGAGGGCTCATTGGGCCTTTGCCTGCGAAAGGTCACCTATGATATATTCTTAATGTGCCCTGCGGAAGGGTCGTTGCCAGGAACGTCGCCCCACGATGTTAATGATACGGTATATTTGAACACGCGGTCGGTTTCCCCGACCAATATTATCCACGAGAGGTTTTTTTTTTTGCCCCCCCCCCCCCCACCCTCGGGTTAGATCGCGTGAATATCAACGCGTCGCCGAAACCCGCCACCACCTGACGTAGCCAATCAGCAAGCGGTCTGCCGCGTTCTGTTCACGTGGAGAACAAACAAAAAAAACAAACCCCTTACTGACTGGCCGTGTGGTCGGGTGGGGGCGGGTTTCAATGACGCGTTCACATTCGCCACGATCTTGACCCGAGCAAGCCCCTCCATTACGGACGCGGTAAGCGTTGCGTAGTCGTCATTGGCCGGTTGCTCGCACAGCACCGCCAACGGAGGCGCCGCACCAGCCACACGGTGGAGCTCCGTCATCCGATCTCAGCACGCGGAGCCGCCGTCCGTTGAGCCCCGCAAGCCTCGTTCTGCTGATGAGAACGCCGATTTTCAAAACCAGCCAGCTCACCGGCATCGGTTGGAGCGCCGCGTGAACTCTGCCGCTGGCGAGGCGCCGAATGTCGCGGCTGTCCCCAGGAAGTTTTCTTGCCTGCGCTGAGACACCAACGCCGCGGAAGGGATCCGCTCCCGGAAGGCCGCGCGTGGCTGATGGGATGTGTTCAAACAAATGGAAATACTTGTTGTATGGAGGGACGCTTACGAGGAGGAAGAGGTGGAGCAGGAGGAGGATTCAGAGGAGCAGGGGGAGGAGCAATTGGAGGAGGTGGAGCAGGAGGAGCAGAAGGAAGAGGTGGAGCAGGAGGAAGAGGTGGAGCAGGAGAAGCAGGATGAGGAGCAGGGGGAGGAGCAATTGGAGGAGGTGGAGCAGGAGGAAGAGGTAGAGCAGGAGCAGCAGAAGGAAGAGGTGGAGCAGGAGAAGCAGGATGAGCAGCAGGGGGAGGAGCAATTGGAGGAGGTGGAGCAGGAGGAGCAGGAGGTAGAGCAGGAGGAGCAGGAGGAAGTGGTGGAGCAGGAGCAGCAGGATGAGCAGCAGGGGGAGGAGGTGGAGAATGAGGAGGAGATGGAGCCCACTGGTTGACTCCGTTCTGTCCACGCCACAGAGAGGAGTGCGCTGTCTGGCAGCATGAAGATCGTCACCGGAGCCGAGTTCAGCCCGGCGCTCCTCGACCGCGAGTCGGCCGAGTTCAAGACGCTCGCCTTCGACTTCGAGAAAACGGTCGCGCACCCCGGGGTCACGCACGGGGTCACGCACGGGGTCACGCACGGGGTCATGCACGGGGTCACATAAGGGGTCACACACAGGGCCATACATTGGGTGATGCACTGGGTCACACACGGGGTCACACAGAGTCACACACGGGGTCACACACGGGGTCACACACGGGGTCACACAGAGTCACACACTGGGCCACACACGGGGTCACTGACGGGGTCACACACGGGGTCACTTACGGGGTCACATAGAGTCACACACGGGGTCACACACGGGGTCATCGACGGAGTCACACACGGGGTCATACATTGGGTCGCACAGGCGGGTAACACACACGGAGTTACACACAGGGTTGCACTGGGTTAAACTGGGTTGCCCATAGACTAGCTTAGGACGCATAGACTCACATAGTGACTCATAGACTAACATAGAACCCCATGGACCAACATAGAGACCCATGGACACACATAGAGACCCATGAACTCCAATAGAGACTCATATACTCACATAGAGACCTATAGACTCACATATATACCCATAGACTCACATAGAGACCCATAAACTCACAGTGACTCATATACTCACATAGAGACTCATAGAACTCACAAAGAGACCAATAGACTCGCATAAAGACCTGTGGACTCACGTGAAAATCGCCCCTCCCCCACCCGCACACCCCCTTACCCCCGGTTCCTCTTTCAGATCAACGACGTCTATTCCACCAGCTCTATGCAGAATGACTACATCAGCTGCAAGGTGCTGGCGTTCAGGTGAGCGGGGGCCCGCAGAATAACGGGACCGAAGCGCGGGCCAAACGATCCTTACCCCTTGAGCTGCGGGCAGTTCACCAGCCACGTGTTGGTTCAGGGCAAAGCCAGGCCCGACGCTGGCGACCACTTCACTGAAATGTCGACGCTGCGTAACGGTTCCCGCGACATCGGCATTCGCTAGCACCTACACGCTGACCGGGAGAAACGCCGAGGCGTGAAGAGAGGGAGATCGGTGGCTGGGAATGAGGAAACACTGATGAGGGGAGGGGAATCGGAGAAGGGGGCTGTGGGAATGAGAGAGATATCGTGATGGGAGAGGAGAGATGTGGATGAAGGAGAGAGCTGTGGATGAAGGAGGGAGGCTGTGGATGAAGGAGAGACCTGCGGATGATTGAGGGAGCTGTGAATGAAGGAGGGAGCTGTGGATGAAGGAGGGAGCTGTGGATGAAGGAGGGAGCGGTGGCTGAAAGAGGGAGCTGTGGATGGAGGAGGGAGGCTGTGAATGAAGAAGGGAGCTGTGGATGAAGGAGGGAGCTGTGGATGAAGGAGGGAGCTGTGGATGAAGGAGGGAGCTGTGGATGAAGGAGGGAGCTGTGGATGAAGTACGGAGCTGTGGATGAAGGAGGGAGCTGTGAATGAAGGAGGGAGCTGTGGGTAATGGAGGGAGCTGTGGGTGAAGGAGGGAACTGTGGATGAAGGAGGGAGCTGTGAATGAAGGAGGGAGCTGTGATTGACGGAGGGAGATGTGGGTGATCGAGGGAGCTGTGGATGAAGGAGGTGGGACAATTACTGTAAGAGACAACTGCTAACCTCGAACCGACGCCGCCCCCGTCGCTCGCGTTCCGCGGCAGGTCAGGCAGCGTGCTCACCTCCTTCGGGCTGGAGTTCTTCTCCGAGTCCCCCATCGACGCGCTGGTGGACGAGGCGCTGGCGACGCTCAAGAAGGCCATCGTGCCCGTGAGCGGCGGGTCCACGGAAGGCCAGCTGGGACGCTTCACGGTCGACTCGACGAGCGTGGGCGTCAGCGGTGAGGACGGCCGCTCCGGCTTCCCGTGCCCGTCGCGCACTTTGATCCGCAGATGAAGGTCCCGAGCCCTTGTTTGGGGTCACGGCGCCGTGACCTCTCATTCAAGGTCACGGCGCCGTGACTCCTTAAGGACGACGACGATGACGACGATGCGGATGTTGACGACGAGGACGACGACAAACTGCGTGGCGCTCTCTGACATCGTCTGACCGCAACGCGTCTTTCTCGCCCCTCTCCAGGTGCGAAGCCCACGGAGCCTGGGAAACCGCCAGGTGAGCAGCGGAGAGAGCACAGCAGCAGTGGATGGAGCACAATAGCAGTGGATGGAGCACAGTAGCAGTGGATGGAGCACAGTAGCAGTGGATAGAGCACAGTAGCAGTGGATGGAGCACAGTAGCAGTGGATGGAGCACAGTAGCAGTGGATAGAGCACAGTAGCAGTGGATGGAGCACAGTAGCAGTGGATGGAGCACCGTAGCAGTGGATGGAGCACAGTAGCAGTGGATGGAGCACAGTAGCAGTGGATAGTGCACAGTAGCAGTGGATAGAGCACAGTAGCAGTGGATAGAGCACAGTAGCAGTGGATAGGGTGCGTTAGCGGTTAGCGCTACGCCGCGCTACGAACCCGGCGGTCCGAGTTCGATTCCCGCTCACGGCCAACACCACCGGTGACGATTCTCTGAACCGGTCCCTGGGCCTCCTCCCCTAGGTCGACTCAGCCTCAAATGGGTATCCAGTGCGCTGTGTAGTGAACATCGCCACTGGGGAAACAAAGGCGGCCAGGGCGTGGTGCTGGCCACCCACCTGCTCGAGTGTGCCGTTTCGCTCTTCGTAGGCGCTGCTGCTACTCGCTAACAGCACTTGCCCCAACAGTCTGTGAAGGCTACACGGGTGGGGATCTTTGTCTTTGTTTGGTGGGGGTCGGTGGGTGCATGCGCAGCAGTTGTGGTTGGGTGTCCTGTGGACGACCATAATCTCTAGTAGAGCGGCAATACCGATCAATAGGTCAATCTTTACTCAGCGTGCCGATAGCGCCCTCAATAAAGTAGCCATCGGTGCACATGACAGCAGACCGGGAGCGGTGCAGAGGCATAGAGCCTAGGAACATAATCACGGAGAACAAATGTAATATACAAGGTGCTTCAAAAAATGATTTAACACTTCCATGCGATCCATACTCTTTGGTTCCTTCGGTAAAGTCACGCAGAGTATGGCTTCCTGCAGTCACGAAAGCTTCAAATCAAGACTCATATGGGACTTAACGGAAAAAGAACGGGTGATGATAACACTAATACACTGTTACGCGATGACAAATGTAACGTTAATAGCTTCAAAAGGTCAAAGAGTCTCTCCCACGTGTGTGTGTTTAGCCATCGCTGTTAACGCATTGCCTGGAACCTTCTCGCGGTGGTCTCCAAAGACCGCAAATCCCCAATAAGTGTTGACGTTTATTTTCGAAGCGCCCCTTTAATGAAGAGCAACATGCAGCGTGGTACACGACAAGGCCATTGAACAATGAGAGTTAGGGAAACATACAGATATCTGGGGTACCTGTAATGGGAAGACACGAGACTGTGAATGTGTAACAGACAGGGGGTGATCACTCTAAACGCGTGGTGACGTTGATTCCAAAAGTGGAGGGAAAACCCGGAGGACCTGGAGAAAAATCCACGCGACCACGGGGAGGGAAACACCACAAACTCCAAATATACAGCAGCAGGCGTCAGGGTGGGGATCGAACCCACGACCTCCTGTATACCAGGCGAGGTAGTTAACATCTCCTAGCCACCTTGATGATGATGATGAGAGAGAGAGACGCGCAAACTCCAAATATACAGCAGGTGTCAGTGGTCGGGATTGAACCCACGACCTTCTGTAGACCTGGCGAGGTAGTTAACATCTCATAGCCACTGTGGGATCGAGCCCACGACCTCCTGTAGACCAGGCGAGGTAGTTAACATCTCCTAGGCACCGTGATGATGATGATGATGAGAGAGAGAGACGCAAACTCCAAATATACAGCAGGCGTTAGTGGTCGGGATTGAACCCACGACCTCCTGTAGACCAGGCAAGGGAGTTAACATCTCATAGCCACCGTGATGATGACGATGATGAGAGAAAGAGACGCAAACCCCAAATATACAGCAGGCGTCAGTGGTCGGGATTGAACCCACGACCTCCTGTGGACCTGGCGAGGTAGTTAACATCTCCTAGCCATCACGTCAACACGAACGGCTGGCGGTGACCTCAAAATTGCGCACAGTCAGCGCCGAACAGAGTCCGACATGCCGAGGGGTAAGGTAAAGGGTAGGGTAAATGAAGCGTGAAGAATTACCCGGTAAATAGCTTGTTTACCTACTACCTTGTTTACCTACTACCTTGTTTACCTACTACCTTGTTTACCTACTACCCTGTTTATCTACTACCCTGTTTACTACTACTACCCTGTTTACCTATCACCTTGTTTACCTACTACCCTGTTTGCCTACTACCTTATTTACCTACTACTCTGTTTACCTACTACCCTGTTTACCTACTACCTTGTTTTCTTACTACCCTGTTTACCTACTACCCTGTTAACCTACTACTCTGTTTAATTACGACCTTGTTTACCTATCACCTTGTTTACCTACTACCCTGTTTACCTACTACATTGTTTTCCTCCTACACTGTTTACCTACTACCTTGTTTACCTATCACCTTGTTTACCTACTACCCTGTTTACCTACTACCTTGTTTACTTACTACCCTGTTTACCTACTACCTTGTTTACCTATCACCTTGTTTACCTACTACCCTGCTTACCTACTACCTTGTTTACTTATCACCTTGTTTACCTACTACCCTGTTTACCTACTACCTTGTTTACCTATCACCTTGTTTACCTACTACCCTGTTTGCCTACTACCTTGTTTACCTACTTCCTTGTTTACCTACTACCCTGTTTACCTACTACCCTGTTTACCTACAACCCTGTTTACCTACTACTCTGTTTACCTACTACCCTGTTTACCTACTACCCTGTTTACCTACTACCTTGTATACCTATCACCTTGTTTACCTATCACCTTGTTTACCTACTACCCTGTTTACCAACTACCCTGTTTACCTATTACCTTGTTTACCTATCACCTTGTTTACCTACTACCCTGTTTACCTACTACCTTGTTTACCTACTACCTTGTTTACCTACTACCCTGTTTACCTACTACCCTGTTTACCTACTACCTTGTTTACCTATCACCTTGTTTACCTACTACCCTGTTTACCTACGACCTTGTTTACATATCACCGTGTTAACCTACTACCCTGTTTACCTACTACCTTGTTTACCTATCACCTTGTTTACCTACTATCCTGTTTGCCTACTACCCTGTTTACCTACTACCTTGTTTACCTACTACCCTGTTTACCTACTACCCTGTTTACCTACAACCTTGTTTACCTACTACCCTGTTTACCTACGACCCTGTTTACCTACTACCTTGTTTACCTATCACTTTGTTCACCTACTACCCTGTTTACCTACTACCTTGTTTACCTATCACCTTGTTTACCTACTACCCTGTTTACCTACTACCTTGTTTACCTATAACCTTGTTTACCTACTACCCTGTTTACCTACTACCTTGTTTACCTATCACCTTGTTTACCTACTCCCCTGTTTAACTACTACCTTGTTTACCTATCACTTTGTTTACCTACTACCCTGTTTACCTACTACCCTGTTTACCTACTACCTTGTTTACCTTCTATCCTGTTTACCTACTACCCTGTTTACCTACAACCCTGTTTACCTACTACCTTGTTTACCTACTACCTTGTTTACCTACTACGCTGTTTACCTACTACCTTGTTTACCTATCACCTTGTTTACCTACTACCTTGTTTACCTACTACCCGGTTTACCTACTACCTTGTTTACCTATCACCTTGTTTACCTATCACCTTGTTTACCTACTACCTTGTTTACCTACTACCCTGTTTGCCTACAACCCTGTTTAGCTACTACCCTGTTTACCTACTACCTTGTTTACCTATCACTGTGTTTACCTACTACCCTGTTTACCTACTACCTTGTTTACCTATCACCTTGTTTACCTATCACCTTGTTTACCTACTACCCTGTTTACCTACTACCCTGTTAACCTACTACTATGTTTAATTACGACCTTGTTTACCTATCACTTTGTTTACCTACTAACCTGTTTACCTACTACCTTGTTTTCCTCCTACACTGTTTACCTACTACCTTGTTTACCTATCACCTTGTTTACCTACTACCCTGTTTACCTACTACCTTGTTTACCTACTACCTTGTTTACCTACTACCCTGTTTACCTACTACCTTGTTTACCTACTACCCTGTTTACCTACTACCCTGTTTACCTACAACCCTGTTTACCTACTACTCTGTTTACCTACTACCCTGTTTACCTACTACCCTGTTTACCTACTACCTTGTATACCTATCACCTTGTTTACCTATCACCTTGTTTACCTACTACCCTGTTTACCAACTACCCTGTTTACCTACTACCTTGTTTACCTATCACCTTGTTTACCTACTACCCTGTTTACCTACTACCTTGTTTACCTACTACCTTGTTTACCTACTACCCTGTTTACCTACTACCCTGTTTACCTATCACCTTATTTACCTACTACCCTGTTTACCTACGACCTTGTTTACATATCACCGTGTTAACCTACTACCCTGTTTACCTACTACCTTCTTTACCTATCACCTTGTTTACCTACTATCCTGTTTGCCTACTACCCTGTTTACCTACTACCTTGTTTACCTACTACCCTGTTTACCTACTACCCTGTTTACCTACAACCCTGTTTACCTACTACCCTGTTTACCTACGACCCTGTTTACCTACTACCTTGTTTACCTATCACTTTGTTCACCTACTACCCTGTTTACCTACTACCTTGTTTACCTATCACCTTGTTTACCTACTACCCTGTTTACCTACTACCTTGTTTACCTATAACCTTGTTTACCTACTACCCTGTTTACCTACTACCTTGTTTACCTATCACCTTGTTTACCTACTACCCTGTTTAACTACTACCTTGTTTACCTATCACTTTGTTTACCTACTACCCTGTTTACCTACTACCCTGTTTACCTACTACCTTGTTTACCTTCTATCCTGTTTACCTACTACCCTGTTTACCTACAACCCTGTTTACCTACTACCTTGTTTACCTACTACCTTGTTTACCTACTACGCTGTTTACCTACTACCTTGTTTACCTATCACCTTGTTTACCTACTACCTTGTTTACCTACTACCCTGTTTACCTATTACCTTGTTTACCTATCACCTTGTTTACCTACTACCCTGTTTACCTACTACCTTGTTTACCTACTACCTTGTTTACCTACTACCCTGTTTACCTACTACCCTGTTTACCTACTACCTTGTTTACCTATCACCTTGTTTACCTACTACCCTGTTTACCTACGACCTTGTTTACATATCACCGTGTTAACCTACTACCCTGTTTACCTACTACCTTGTTTACCTATCACCTTGTTTACCTACTATCCTGTTTGCCTACTACCCTGTTTACCTACTACCTTGTTTACCTACTACCCTGTTTACCTACTACCCTGTTTACCTACAACCTTGTTTACCTACTACCCTGTTTACCTACGACCCTGTTTACCTACTACCTTGTTTACCTATCACTTTGTTCACCTACTACCCTGTTTACCTACTACCTTGTTTACCTATCACCTTGTTTACCTACTACCCTGTTTACCTACTACCTTGTTTACCTATAACCTTGTTTACCTACTACCCTGTTTACCTACTACCTTGTTTACCTATCACCTTGTTTACCTACTCCCCTGTTTAACTACTACCTTGTTTACCTATCACTTTGTTTACCTACTACCCTGTTTACCTACTACCCTGTTTACCTACTACCTTGTTTACCTTCTATCCTGTTTACCTACTACCCTGTTTACCTACAACCCTGTTTACCTACTACCTTGTTTACCTACTACCTTGTTTACCTACTACGCTGTTTACCTACTACCTTGTTTACCTATCACCTTGTTTACCTACTACCTTGTTTACCTACTACCCGGTTTACCTACTACCTTGTTTACCTATCACCTTGTTTACCTATCACCTTGTTTACCTACTACCTTGTTTACCTACTACCCTGTTTGCCTACAACCCTGTTTAGCTACTACCCTGTTTACCTACTACCTTGTTTACCTATCACTGTGTTTACCTACTACCCTGTTTACCTACTACCTTGTTTACCTATCACCTTGTTTACCTATCACCTTGTTTACCTACTACCCTGTTTACCTACTACCCTGTTAACCTACTACTATGTTTAATTACGACCTTGTTTACCTATCACTTTGTTTACCTACTAACCTGTTTACCTACTACCTTGTTTTCCTCCTACACTGTTTACCTACTACCTTGTTTACCTATCACCTTGTTTACCTACTACCCTGTTTACCTACTACCTTGTTTACCTACTACCTTGTTTACCTACTACCCTGTTTACCTACTACCTTGTTTACCTACTACCCTGTTTACCTACTACCCTGTTTACCTACAACCCTGTTTACCTACTACTCTGTTTACCTACTACCCTGTTTACCTACTACCCTGTTTACCTACTACCTTGTATACCTATCACCTTGTTTACCTATCACCTTGTTTACCTACTACCCTGTTTACCAACTACCCTGTTTACCTACTACCTTGTTTACCTATCACCTTGTTTACCTACTACCCTGTTTACCTACTACCTTGTTTACCTACTACCTTGTTTACCTACTACCCTGTTTACCTACTACCCTGTTTACCTATCACCTTATTTACCTACTACCCTGTTTACCTACGACCTTGTTTACATATCACCGTGTTAACCTACTACCCTGTTTACCTACTACCTTCTTTACCTATCACCTTGTTTACCTACTATCCTGTTTGCCTACTACCCTGTTTACCTACTACCTTGTTTACCTACTACCCTGTTTACCTACTACCCTGTTTACCTACAACCCTGTTTACCTACTACCCTGTTTACCTACGACCCTGTTTACCTACTACCTTGTTTACCTATCACTTTGTTCACCTACTACCCTGTTTACCTACTACCTTGTTTACCTATCACCTTGTTTACCTACTACCCTGTTTACCTACTACCTTGTTTACCTATAACCTTGTTTACCTACTACCCTGTTTACCTACTACCTTGTTTACCTATCACCTTGTTTACCTACTACCCTGTTTAACTACTACCTTGTTTACCTATCACTTTGTTTACCTACTACCCTGTTTACCTACTACCCTGTTTACCTACTACCTTGTTTACCTTCTATCCTGTTTACCTACTACCCTGTTTACCTACAACCCTGTTTACCTACTACCTTGTTTACCTACTACGCTGTTTACCTACTACCTTGTTTACCTATCACCTTGTTTACCTACTACCTTGTTTACCTACTACCCGGTTTACCTACTACCTTGTTTACCTATCACCTTGTTTACCTATCACCTTGTTTACCTACTACCTTGTTTACCTACTACCCTGTTTGCCTACAACCCTGTTTAGCTACTACCCTGTTTACCTACTACCTTGTTTACCTATCACTGTGTTTACCTACTACCCTGTTTACCTACTACCTTGTTTACCTATCACCTTGTTTACCTACTGCCTTGTTTACCTACTACCTTGTTTACCTACTACCTTGTTTACCTACTACCTTGTTTACCTATCACCTTGTTTACCTACTACCCTGTTTACCTACTACCTTGTTTACCTATAACCTTGTTTACCTACTACCTTGTTTACCTATCACCTTGTTTACCTACTACCCTGTTTACCTACTACCTTGTTTACCTACTACCTTGTTTACCTATCACTGTGTTTACCTACTACCCTGTTTACCTACTACCTTGTTTACCTATCACCTTGTTTACCTACTGCCTTGTTTACCTACTACCCTGTTTACCGCTCGCTAAAAGCTTCGTGGCGCAGTCTGTGGCATCCATTTAAAATTGGAATCATTGAGAGTCTTCGATATGAATAAAGCACTCTACCTAGCATCTACCTGCTACAAACCTTCTTCACGTGTTGTAGTGCCCCAGTAATTACCACCCTGCAATCGGGTCATTTGTATGGGGTAAGTTGTAAAAGGTAAGGTAAAGGTAGGCCCGTTGCTTTGACCTTTGACCTTACCTTGCCGAGGTCTATTCAGAGGTAGCGTGCGTCGAAAGTGAAGAAGACATATTCAACGTGACTTTACCGAAAGAACTAAGAATATGAATTACTGCAGTCACGAAAGCTTTAAATCAAAAGTGAAGAAGACGTTCATGTTTTCTCTCTCCTTCTAAATGGAGAGAGTGGAGTTGACCGAAGTCGACTTTTGTCCACCGCCACCCCATCTCGCTTTGCGTGCAGGAGAAACGAGCACCCCCAAAACAACAACTACCCCCAAAACAACTCCTCAGCCAGGTGAAGGGACAATCTGTACTCTGCCCCCCCCCACAACACCGCTCTCGCGCACGTGTATGTGTGTCATGTGTGTACGCGTGTGTGTGTGTCGTGTGTGTACACGTGTGTGTGTGTGTCATTTGTGTACGCATGTGTGTGTGTGTCATGTGTGTACGCATGTGTGTGTGTCATGTGTGTACGCGTGTGTGTGTGTCATGTGTGTACGCGTGTGTGTGTGTCATGTGTGTACGTGTGTGTGTGTCATGTGTGTACGCGTGTGTGCGTGGCATGTTTGTATGCGTGTGTGTGTCATGTGTTGTTTACCTACTACTCTGTTTACATACTACCCTGTTTACCTATCACCTTGTTTACCTACTACCCTGTTTACCTACTACCCTGTTTACCGATTACCTTGTTTATCTATCACCTTGTTTACCTACTACCCTGTTTACCTACTACCTTGTTTACCTATCACCTTGTTTACCTACTACCTTGTTTGCCTACTACCCTGTTTACCTACTACCCTGTTTACCTACTACCCTGTTTACCTACAACTCTGTTTACCTACGACCTTGTTTACCTACTACCCTGTTCACCTACTACCTTGTTTACCTACTACCTTGTTTACCTATCACCTTGTTTACCTACTACCCTGTTTACCTACTACCCTGTTTACCTACTACCCTGTTTACCTACAACTCTGTTTACCTACGACCTTGTTTACCTACTACCTTGTTTACCTACTACCCTGTATACCTACTACCTTGTTTACCTATCACCTTGTTTACCTACTACCCTGTTTACCAACTACCTTGTTTACCTATCTTCTTGTTTACCTACTACCCTGTTTACATACTACCTTGTTTACCTATCACTTTGTTTACCTACTACCCTGTTTACTTACTACCTTGTTTACCTATCACCTTGTTTACCTACTACCTTGTTTACCTACTATCCTGTTTACCTACTACCTTGTTTACCTATCACCTTGTTTACCTACTACCCTGTTTACTTACTACCTTGTTTACCTATCACCTTGTTTACCTACTACCCTGTTTACCTACTACCTTGTTTACCTATCACCTTGTTTATCTACTACCCTGTTTACCTACTACCTTGTTTACCTATCACTTTGTTTACCTACTACCCTGTTTACCTACTACCTTGTTTACCTACTACCCTGTTTACCTACTACCCTGTTTACCTACAACCCTGTTTACCTACTACCCTGTTTGCCTACTACCCTGTTGACCTACTACAATTGTTTACCTATCACTTTGTTTACCTACTACCCTGTTTACCTACTACCTTGTTTAACTATCACCTTATTTACCTACTACCTTGTTTACCTACAACCCTGTTTACCTACTACCTTGTTTACCTATCACCTTGTTTACCTACTACCCTGTTTATCTACTACCTTGTTTACCTATCACCTTGTTTATCTACTACCTTGTTTACCTAATACCCTGTTTACCTACTACCTTGTTTACCTATCACCTTGTTTACCTACTACCCTGTTTACCAAGTACCTTGTTTACCTATCACCTTGTTTACCTACTACCCCGTTTACCTACTACTTTGTTTACCTATCACCTTGTTTACCTACTACCTTGTTTACCTTCTACCTTGTTTACCTACTACCTTGTTTACCTACTACCCTGTTTACCTACTACCCTGTTTACCTACAACCCTGTTTACCTACTACTCTGTTTACCTACTACCCTGTTTACCTACTACCGTGTTTACCTACTACCCTGTTTACCTATCACTTTGTTTACCTACTACCCTGTTTACCTACTGCATTGTTTACCTATCACCTTGTTTACCTACTACCTTGTTTACCTACTACCCTGTTTACCTACTACCTTGTTTACCTATCACCTTGTTTACCTACTACCCTGTTTACCTACTACCTTGTTTACCTATCACCTTGTTTACCTACTACCCTGTTTACCTACTGTCTTGTTTACCTATCACCTTGTTTACCTACTACCCTGTTTACCAATCACTTTGTTTACCTACTACACTGTTTACCTATCACCTTGTTTACCTACTACCTTGTTTACCTATCACTTTGTTTACCTACTACCCTGTTTACCTACTACCTTGTTTAACTCTCACCTTGTTTACCTACTACCCTGTTTACCTACTACCCTGTTTACCTACTACCCTGTTTACCTATCACGCTGTTTACCTACAACCCTGTTTACCTACTACTCTGTTTACCTACTACCCTGTTTAACTACTACCCTGTTTACCTACTACCTTGTTTACCTATCACTTTGTTTACCTACTACCCTGTTTACCTACTACCTTGTTTAACTATCACCTTGTTTACCTACTACCTTGTTTACCTACTACCTTGTTTACCTATCACCTTGTTTACCTACTACCCTGTTTACTTACTACCTTGTTTAACTATCATCTTGTTTACCTACTACCCTGTTTACCTACTACCTTGTTTACCTATCACCTTGTTTACCTACTACCCTGTTTACCTACAATCCTGTTTACCTACTACTCTGTTTACCTACTACCCTGTTTACCTACTACCCTGTATACCTACTACCTTATTTACCTATCACTTTGTTTACCTACTACCCTGTTTACCTACTACCTTGTTTAACTATCACCTTGTTTACCTACTACCTTGTTTACCTACTACACTGTTTACCTACTACCCTGTTTGCCTACAACCCTGTTTAGCTTCTACCTTGTTTGCCTACTATTCTGTTTACCTACTACCCTGTTTACCTATCACCTTGTTTACCTACTACCCTGTTTACCTACTACCCTGTTTACCTTCTACCTTGTTTACCTACTACCTTGTTTACCTACTACCCTGTTTACCTACTACCCTTTTTACCTACAACCCTGTTTACCTACTACTCTGTTTACCTACTACCCTGTTTACCTACTACCCTGTTTACCTACTACCCTGTTTACCTATCACCTTGTTTACCTACTACCCTGTTTACCTACTACCTTGTTTATCTACTACCCTGTATACCTACTACCTTGTTTACCTACTACCCTGTTTACCTACTACCTTGTTTACCTATCACCTTGTTTACCTACTACCCTGTTTACCTACTACCCTGTTTACCTACTACCCTGTTTACCTATCACCTTGTTTACCTACTACCCTGTTTACCTACTGCATTGTTTACCTATCACCTTGTTTACCTACTACCTTGTTTACCTACTACCCTGTTTACCTACTACCTTGTTTACCTATCACCTTGTTTACCTACTACCCTGTTTACCTACTACCTTGTTTACCTATCACCTTGTTTACCTACTACCCTGTTTACCTACTGTCTTGTTTACCTATCACCTTGTTTACCTACTACCCTGTTTACCTATCACTTTGTTTACCTACTACCCTGTTTACCTATCACCTTGTTTACCTACTACCTTGTTTACCTATCACTTTGTTTACCTACTACCCTGTTTACCTACTACCTTGTTTAACTATCACCTTGTTTACCTACTACCCTGTTTACCTACTACCCTGTTTACCTACTACCTTGTTTACCTATCACTTTGTTTACCTACTACCCTGTTTACCTACTACCTTGTTCAACTATCACCTTGTTTACCTACTACCTTGTTTACCTACTACCTTGTTTACCTATCACCTTGTTTACCTACTACCCTGTTTACTTACTACCTTGTTTACCTATCATCTTGTTTACCTACTACCCTGTTTACCTACTACCTTTTTTACCTATCACCTTGTTTACCTACTACCCTGTTTACCTACAACCCTGTTTACCTACTACTCTGTTTACCTACTACCCTGTTTACCTACTACCCTGTTTACCTACTACCCTGTTTACCTATCACCTTGTTTACCTACTACCCTGTTTACCTACTGCATTGTTTACCTATCACCTTGTTTACCTACTACCTTGTTTACCTACTACCCTGTTTACCTACTACCTTGTTTACCTATCACCTTGTTTACCTACTACCCTGTTTACCTACAACCCTGTTTACCTACTACTCTGTTTACCTACTACCCTGTTTACCTACTACCCTGTATACCTACTACCTTGTTTACCTATCACTTTGTTTACCTACTACCCTGTTTACCTACTACCTTGTTTAACTATCACCTTGTTTACCTACTACCTTGTTTACCTACTACCCTGTTTACCTACAACCCTGTTTACCTACTATTCTGTTTACCTACTACCCTGTTTACCTACTACCCTGTATACCTACTACCTTGTTAACCTATCACTTTGTTTACCTACTACCCTGTTTACCTACTACCTTGTTTAACTATCACCTTGTTTACCTACTACCTTGTTTACTTACTACCCTGTTTACCTACAACCCTGTTTACCTACTACTCTGTTTACCTACTACCCTGTTTACCTACTACCTTGTTTACCTATCACTGTGTTTACCTACTACCCTGTTTACCTACTACCTTGTTTACCTATCACCTTGTTTACCTACTACCCTGTTTACCTACTACCTTGTTTACCTATAACCTTGTTTACCTACTACCTTGTTTACCTATCACCTTGTTTACCTACTACCCTGTTTACCTACTACCTTGTTTACCTATCACCTTGTTTACCTATCACTGTGTTTACCTACTACCCTGTTTACCTACTACCTTGTTTACCTATCACCTTGTTTACCTACTGCCTTGTTTACCTACTACCCTGTTTACCGCTCGCTAAAAGCTTCGTGGCGCAGTCTGTGGCATTCATTTAAAATTGGAATCATTGAGAGTCTTCGATATGAATAAAGCACTCTACCTAGCATCTACCTGCTACAAACCTTCTTCACGTGTTGTAGTGCCCCGGTAATTACCACCCTGCAATCGGGTCATTTGTATGGGGTAAGTTGTAAAAGGTAAGGTAAAGGTAGGCCCGTTGCTTTGACCTTTGACCTTAGCTTGCCGAGGTCTATTCAGAGGTAGCGTGCGTCGAAAGTGAAGAAGACGTTCATGCTTTCTCTCTCCTTCTAAATGGAGAGAGTGGAGTTGACCGAAGTCGACTTTTGTCCACCGCCACCCCATCTCGCTTTGCGTGCAGGAGAAACGAGCACCCCCAAAACAACAACTACCCCCAAAACAACAACTACCCCCAAAACAACTACCCCCAAAACAACTCCTGAGCCAGGTGAAGGGACAATCTGTACTCTGCCCCCCCCACAACACCGCTCTCGCGCACGTGTGTGTGTCATGTGTGTACGCGTGTGTGTGTGTGTGTGTCATGTGTGTACGCATGTGTGTGTGTGTGATGTGTGTACGCGTGTGTGTGTGTGTCATGTGTGTACGCGTGTGTGTGTGTCATGTGTGAACGCATGTGTGTGTGTGTCATGTTTGTACGCATGTGTGTGTGTCATGTGTGTACGCGTGTGTGTGTGTCATGTGTGTACGCATGTGTGTGCGTGTCATGTGTGTACACGTATGTGTGTGTGTCATGTGTGTACGCGTGTGTGTGTCATGCGTATACACGTGTGTGTGTGTCGTATGTACGCATGTGTGTGTGTCATGTGTGCACACGTGTGTGTGTCATGTGTGTACGCATGTGTGTGTGTCATGTGTGCACGCGTGTGTGTCATGTGTGTACGCGTGTGTGTGTCATGTGTGTACGCATGTGTGTGTCATGTGTGTACACGTGTGTGTGTGTGCCATGTGTGTACACGTGTGTGTGTCATGTGTGTACACGTGTCTGTGTCATGCGTTTACACGTGTGTGTGTCATGTATGTACACGCGTGTGTGTGTCATGTGTGCACGCGTGTGTGTGTGTGCCATGTGTGTACACGTGTGTGTGTGCGTGTCATGTGTGCACGCGTGTGTGTGTGTGTCATGTGTGCACGCGTGTGTGTGTGTCATGTATGTACACGTGTGTGTTTCATGTGTGTACGCGTGTGTGTGTGTCATGTGTGTACACGTGTGTGTGGGTGTCATGTGTGCACGCGTGTGTGCGTGTCATGTGTGTACGCGTGTGTGTGTGTCATGTGTGCACACGTGTGTGTGTGTGCGTGTCATGTGTGAACGCGTGTGTGTCATGTGTGTACACGTGTGTGCGTGTCACGTGTGTGCACGTGTGTGTGTGTCATGTGTACACGCGTGTCTGTGTGTCATGTGTGTACACGCGTGTATGTGTGTCATGTGTGCACGCGTGTGTGTGTGTGTCATGTGTGTACGCGTGTGTGTTTCATGTGTACACGTGTGTGTGTGTCATTGTACACGTGTGTGTGTCATGTGTACACGTGTGTGTGTCATGTGTACACGTGTGTGTGTCATGTGTACACGTGTGTGTGTCATGTGTACACGCGTGTGTGTGTCATGTGTACACGTGTGTGTGTGTCATGTGTACACGTGTGTGTGTCATGTGTACACGTGTGTGTGTCATGTGTACACGTGTGTGTGTCATGTGTACATGTGTGTGTGTCATGTGTACACGTGTGTGTGTCATGTGTACACGTGTGTGTGTGTGTCATGTGTACACGTGTGTGTGTGTCATGTGTACACGTGTGTGTGTGTGTCATGTGTACACGTGTGTGTGTGTCATGTGTACACGTGTGTGTGTGTCATGTGTACACGTGTGTGTGTGTGTCATGTGTACACGTGTGTGTGTGTCATGTGTACACGTGTGTGTGTGTGTCATGTGTACACGTGTGTGTGTGTGTGTATGGGGAGCGGTAGTGCAGCTGCCGGCGCGCTCCGCTACGAACCTGGCTATACCCGAGTTCGATTCCCGCTCACGGCCAAATACCAACTGGGTCCTGCTGCTGAGCCCTCCCCTAGGTGGACTCAGCCTCAAAACGAGCACCCGGTGCGGTGTGCGGTAAACATCGCCACCGGGGGAGACAAAGGCGGCCGGGGCGTGGTGCTGCTTTTGGGAAGTACGTGGAGGTTTGGCTCAGCGGCGTCGCGCTGTGGTGTTGACGTTGGGTTGTTTGTGTCCCCGGCGTGCAGGGAAAACGACCACCACCAAAGCACCCTCGACAGGTGAGTGACGATTTAAATGTAAACAAACAAACAACAACAATACCATCACCGGCTCCGGGAGAACTGCATTGTGGTCCCGTTGTGCCCGGGAGACCGTTGCAAAATGATTAATTGCTAGAGGCAGCGGATGCAGTGATGGGCAATTGCGGGATTGGGACTCATGAGTGCAGCGTGGGTCACCAAATGCAAGGCCCTGCTTCTGGGATGCGTGCATAGCACAAGGTGGCCAGGGCGTGCGTGGTTGCTGGCCATCCACTCACCCACCCACCACTCATCCACCCACTTATCCACCCACTCATCCACCCACTCACCCACTCACTCACCCACCCACCCACTCACCCACCCACTCACGCACCCACCCACTCACTCACGCACCCACCCACTCATCCACCCACCCACTCACGCACTCACCCACTCACGCACCCACCCACCCACCCACTCATCCACCCACCCACTCACCCACTCACTCACCCACCCACCCGCTCACCTACCCACCCACTCACTCACTCACCCACCCACTCATCCACCCACCCACTCACTCACCCACCCACCCACTCACTCATCCACCCACCCACTCACCCACTCACTCAATCACCCACCGACCCATCCGCTCACCCACTCACCCACTCACTCACCCACCCACCCGCTCACCCACCCACCCGCTCACCTACCCACCCACTCACTCACCCACCCACCCACTCACCCACCCACCCACCCACTCACTCACCCACCCACCCACTCGCTCACCTACCCACTCATCCACCCACCCGCTCACCCACCCACTCACTGCCCCACTCAGCCACCCACCCCCTCGTGTTGCCACAGTGCCGCCCTTCGTACGTGCTGCTGCTTCTCGCTACGAACAGCACTTGACCCCAACAGGCTGTTAGTTTGATAAAAGATGATTCTTGCTGTTGATTCAACAGCATTGTTATTATAGCAGATGGAAGTCGATTGTTCAATTGTGTGTGTTTAGTTTGTTGTCCTTCCCCCACTCCTCGCGATTAGCACGGCTGGCTACGTACGATACTCAACACCACACACACATACACACAGAGACACACACAGACACACACACAGACACACACATACACACAGAGACACACACATAGACATACACAGACATACAGACAGACACACAGACACACACAAACAGCACACAGACAGACACACAGACACACAGACACACCAACACACACAGACACACACATACACACAGAGACACACACAGACACACACAGACACACACACAGACACACACACAGACATACAGACACACACACAGACACACACACAGACACACATATACACACAGAGACACACACAGACACACACACAGACATACAGACACACACACAGACACACACACAGACACACATATACACACAGAGACACACACAGACACACACACAGACATACAGACAGACACACAGACACACTAACACACACAGACACACACATACACAGAGAGACACACACAGGCACACACACAGACATACAGACAGACACACAGACACACACAAACAGACACACAGACACACAGACACACCAACACACACAGACACACACATACACACAGAGACACACACGGACACACACACAGGCATACAGACAGACACACAGACAGACACACAGACACACAGACACACCAACACACACAGACACACACAGACACACAGAGACACACAGACACACAACAAAAACAACCGCCATTCGCCACTAAGTGGCGGTGACGTCACCACGACGCTTGTGCCAGGCCATGTGCACCTTGAGGCCACGTGAAGTGTCGAACGCCCGCGGGCAGGAGGTCACCCACGGGTCGACTGACTGAGATGACTGGCTGGTGCACCACCTGTGCCCCCTACTGTGGCAACTTGCTGTGCTTTAGCCACCCGGCGCTCCGCTCACACACAGACACACAGACAGACAGAGACACACACACCTACTAGCGTAGAGAAGGGAGGGAATGACTGTGGCCAAGAAGACCTGGAGCTTAGTGCGGAGCGACAGAACAGGTAGCTTCCACACAGCATTACGAAACCCATGAAAAGATATTGCCGCTCCACTGATTCGGAGTGAGACATCTGCTGTTAAACTGGAGCCGGTCATACGTACACTGCCCAGGTATGGGAAACTCTCCACTCTCTCCACAACTGCCCCATCACCGATTGGGGAGTTGTAGGGGTGGAGTGTCCAATGGTACAAAATACCCAGACAGGTGCTTAGTTATGGTGGGGTTGATGGTAAGGCCCCCACCTCTTAATGGCACGCTCCAGTCTCAGCAGCAGCATCTCCAACTCCTCCTCTGAATGAGCAGCTATTACCAAATCATCGGCATACATAACGTTGTTGAGCAATAGGGAGCCATCCCTTGACCGCACCCGGGCAGCGATCAGCCTCCCATTAAATCTGTACCAAATGGAAATTCCCCCGGTACAGCTATTGAAGGCATCACGAACTACGTGGTCAAAATAGATGTTAAATAATGTGGGAGCCAGAGGACATCCCTGTCGCACCCCAAGGTGTACAGGGAATGGCTCTGACTCCCGGCCACGTAGTTTTACCCGGGCCCGCTCACCATCATGAAGGTCCTTAATGATCGTGAGCAGAGGGTCAGGGACTCCGAAAGCTCGAAGAACAACCCAGAGCCCAGGCCTACTGATGGTATCATAGGCCTTGACCAGGTCAATAAAGCAGAGATGTAGGTCTTGTTGGAATTCCCTACACCTCTGCTGTAGCAGACGGACAGAAAATATGGCATCTGTGCATGACCGCCCTTTCCTGAAACCGCATTGGGGCTCCGCAAGCCTCTCCTCAGCGTGCCTAGCAAGGCGATGTTGAATAATCCTTGCAAGGACCTTTCCTGGCCCCTGTAGTTGTTACAGTCTGTCCGGTCCCCCCTCTTAAAGAGGGGGACCACCAGGGCATCCTTCCAATCCTGCGGAACCCGTCTAGTGGCCCAGACTGTTGTTATGAAGTCATATAGGGCAGTCTGTGCACAAACGCCACCCTCCCTCAGCATTTCGCTTGGGAGATAATCTCTGCCCGGTGCCTTTCCTGGTCTCAGACTCCGGATCGCCTTCAGTACTTCCTCAATAGATGGCACCTCGGCCAGCCACTCACAGGGGGTGACTTCTTCCAATATTTGAGGCACCGCAGCCTCAGCAGGGTCATCCCCACTTTGTGCCACGATGTTTTCCTGGCTGAGGGATTTCCCCTCCCCCAGGACCTCACAGAAATGCTCGCCTCCAGTTGATGGGAAGGCGAGCCCCAAGTAGCCTAGGGCTTACAGCTTCCCACACCTCACCGCCACGCTCCCCCGCCCCCTTCATTCTTTTGTTCAAAAGAAGAGCCACACCCTGTTGTTTGGCAGTCTGCTGCCCCGAGTAGAGGACTGTCTACCCCTCATGGTGGCAGGAGCCAGAATCGGTCCACTGGACCTCCTGAATGCCACAGAGATCCAGGCAGTACTGGTCCAGCTCCCGACAGAGGAGTAGCAGCCTCTCCTCCGCAGTGAGCATTCGAACATTCCATGTGGCCACACGAAGTGGTTTTTCGTTGTTTCTGGAGGAGCCCCGAGGGTAAAGATTCAATCTCCTGGCTCCGCCAATTGGGGGTTGGCCAGGAGACGTCATAGACGCCTGTCCCCCCGGGGCCTCCGGTACAAGCTTATTAGTTATATATTTAAGTCGTGGTTTAGTGGTAATTTATTGAAGGTGGAGGGGTTACCAGCCCCTCGCACCCGTCCAGAGCCCTGTTTAGCTATTGTGGTTGTCACAGACGCCGTGTCGGCCTTCATAGGGTGCTGCTACTCGCTACTAACAGCACTTTGCCAAGCAGCCTGCTAAGGCTACATGGGGGGGGGGGGTCTTTGTCTTGTGTGTGTAGGGGAGCGGTAGCACAAGCGGAGAGCGGTAGCGCTAGCGGGGAGCGGTAGCGAAAGCGGGGAGCGGTGACGCAAGCGGGGAACGGCTGCACAAGTGGGGAGCGGCGGCGCTAGCGGGGAAGCGGTAGCGCTAGCGGGGAAGCGGTAGCGCTAGCGGGGAGCGGTGGCGCTAGCGAGGAGCGGTGGCGCTAGCGGGGAGCGGTGGCGCTAGCGGGGAGCGGTGGCGCTAGCGAGGAAGCGCTAGCGGGGAGCGGTGGCGCTAACGGGGAGCGGCAGCGCTAGTGGGGAGCGGTGGCGCTAGCGAGGAAGCGGTAGCGCTAGCGGGGAGCGGTGGCGCTAGCGGGGAGCGGTGGCGCTAGCGGGGAGCGGCGGCGCTAGCGGGGAGCGGCGGCGCTAGCGGGGAGCGGTAGCGAAAGCGGGGAGCGGTGACGCAAGCGGGGAACGGCTGCACAAGTGGGGAGCGGCGGCGCTAGCGGGGAAGCGGTAGCGCTAGCGGGGAAGCGGTAGCGCTAGCGGGGAGCGGTGGCGCTAGCGAGGAGCGGTGGCGCTAGTGGGGAGCGGTGGCGCTAGCGGGGAGCGGTGGCGCTAGCGAGGAAGCGCTAGCGGGGAGCGGTGGCGCTAACGGGGAGCGGCAGCGCTAGTGGGGAGCGGTGGCGCTAGCGAGGAAGCGGTAGCGCTAGCGGGGAGCGGTGGCGCTAGCGGGGAGCGGTGGCGCTAGCGGGGAGCGGCGGCGCTAGCGGGGAGCGGCGGCGCTAGCGGGGAAGCGGTGGCGCAAGCGGGGAGCGGTGGCGCAAGCGGTTAGCGCTGCTGCTCCACGGTTGGCCACGTACAGTGCGAAGGAAGTTCAACGGCTGCCCGGGGCGTGCGTGGTCCTGGTCACGCACCGCCCTCGTGCGCCCTGCCGCCCTTCATAGGGGGTCTTGCTACTCGCTAACTAACAGCACTTGCCCGCCCCAGCAGTCCCTTAAAGGGCCGCTGACAACCCGCAACTTGTCGCTACGGTTAAATCTTCGCTGGACCATATCTAGGACGTGTGCACAACCGTCATCATGATCAGAGGATCCGGCGGGCAAAATAACAATAATTTGGGGCTGGGGGGGGGGGGGGGAGGTGGAAAAACAAAACAAACCGGGCACTTGCCCCACCAGACTGTCGAGGCTATCCCGGGTGAACCTCTTGCCTCTGTGCGCGTCTCGCTCCAGACGTCTGCTCGTGGGGCCAGCAACAGTGCCGCAACAGCACGGCGTGCGTCTACGAAGAGCTCTTCTGCGACGGGAACGTGGACTGCGCCGAGGGCTCCGACGAGACGCCCACGGACTGCGGTACGCGCGCGGCGCCTGCCCGGCTTGACCGAAAATGAATCCCGGCGGTCGCGGAAGTCTTTCAGTCGTAATTTTAAAGTGATCGTTTCGTTGTTTGTTGTTTGTTGTTTGTTGTTGTTGTTGTTTGTCCGTCCGCAACGCCCGCCCGCCCCGACCCGCAGCTTTCTGCCCGCTGCTGTTCACATGCGGAGACCGCTCGTGCGTGCCCGCGTTCCGCGCCTGCGACGGCGCCGACGACTGCGGCGACGGGAAGGACGAACAGGGCTGCGTTCACCTCGCTCAGGGGGAGTCACACAGGTACCTGGGGGGGGGGGGGGAGGTAGGGGGAAGGGGTGTTGAACTTCTTCTGCACCGTACGTAGCAAACTGTGCTCACGGAGGTCGCGTACGCAGAGATTCTCACAGCATTTGCCCCAGCACTTGCCTGTCTTTGTGTGTGTATGTGTGTGTCTGTCTGCGTGTGTGTCTGTGTGTTTGTCTGTGTGTGTGTCTGTGTGTCTCTGTGTGTGTGTCTGTCTGTGTGTGTGTTTGTGTGTGTCTATGTGTGTGTCTGTGTGTGTCTTTCTGCGTGTGTCTTTCTGTGTGTGTCTTTCTGTGTATGCGTCTGTGTGTGTGTGTCTATGTCTATGTGTGTGTTTCTTTCGGTGTGTGTGTGTCTGTGTGTGTCTGTGTGTACGGGACAAAAAAAACAACCCCGTACCTCCCCGTGGTGCCGGACGGGCAACGTTGTTGTGGGCAGTGCCGTGGGGGGAGGGCCAATTCCGATTGGCCTTTCCCCTCAGGGCGTTTGTGGCCACCACAGCGGCTAAATGGGGGCTCTGGGGCTAAATGGGGGATGTTAACTGCTCCACCTTCAATAAATTACCACTAAACCACGTGAAAAAATATCTAACTAATAAGCTTATGGCGGAGGCTCCGGGGAGACAGTCGTCTATGACGTCTCCTGGCCAAACCCCATCTGGCGGAGCCAGGAGATTGAATTTTTACCCTCGGGGCTCCTCCAGAAACAACAACAGGTCCCTGCAGGGTGGGCTGGTAGGAACATTGGAATATTGCGCAATTTTATTTTTACACCCCAACAGCACGAGATTTCACTTCGTTAAAGTATTGAAAGGGGACGGACGGACGGATGGACGGACACATTAATCTATTGCAGGCTGGTACACTCAGCTTACAACTTCGTTCCTACCAGTAAAAAGCCACTTCGTGTGGCCACGTGGAATGTCCGAACGCTGACTGCGGAGGAGAGGCTGCCACTCCTCTGTCGGGAGCTGGACCGGTACCGCCTGGATCTCTGTGGCATTCAGGTCTAGTGGACCGGCTCTGGCTCCTGCCACCATGAGGAGTGGACAGTCCTCTACTCGGGGCAGGAGACTGCCAAACAACAGGGTGTGGCTCTTCTTCTGAACAAAATAATGAAAGGGACGTGGGAGCGTGGTCGTTGAGGTGTGGGAAGCTGTAAGCCCCAGGCTACTTTGGACTCGCATTCCCATTAACCGGAGGCGAGGAGTGGTGGTCGTGGTTACTTATGCCCCCACCGAAGACGAACATCCGTGGAGGGATGCAGGCAAGGCCGATAAGTCAGATGCCTTCTATGACCTCCTGTCACACGTGCTGGCTGAAGGGGCCCCTTGGGATAGAGTCATCTTGTTGGGTGACTTCAATGCCCGAGTTGGTCATAATGCTGGCACCTGGTCTGGATTGATTGGAAGGTATGGGCCAGATCAGCTCAATAACAACGGTAGGAGGCTGCTAGATTTTTGTGCAGCCCATGGGCTTGTAATTACCAACACGCTGTTCTGGCATCGGCGCATCCACACAACATCATGGATGCATGCCGGGTCCAAACAAGAACATCTGCTGGACTGCATAGTGACGAACCAGCAGATACGAGCCCATGTCCTTGACACCAGGACCTACTGTAGAGCTGATCTGCCCTCTGACCATCGACTTGTCATCTGTAAGATGCGCCTGCCATTCTTCTGCTCCCGTGGTAGGTGTACACCCAGGACCCCATTCCAACCTAAAGTGGTCTGGTCTCAGCTAGCTGATGGAAGTTGCAAGCGAGAATTTCATCATCGCTTGCGGCTGGAGTTGGCATCGTCTCCCACTCCTCCTGACGTCGAGGGTAAATGGGCGAGGTTTAGGACTGTGACTCATGCAGCTGCAATGGCTGCTTTGGGTACGCAGTCCAGACCTCCCCAGAGACCCTGGTTGACAGAGGTGATGTTCAGGATGGTTGAGAAAAAGCGACAGGCCCACTCTCATCGGCTACAGCATCCCACGTCAGAGAATGAGGAGGCTTACCGCAGCCTTCGCTCGGAGGTTCGGAGAGCCGTGAGGCGCTGCAAGGATGGGTGGTGGTCACGGGTTGCTGAGGAGATTGAGTCTGCCTCAATGGCCTGCGATCACAAATCCCGATTTAATTCCATCAAAAAAGTAACCTGCAGCACCACACCTATTACCATCATTAGGGGAAAGAACGGTGACCAATCTCCGACCCCCAGGAACAGGTTTGCAGATTTGTTGAGCATTTCTGTGAAGTCCTGGGGGAGGGGGAATCCCTCAGCCTGGAAAACATCGTGGCACAAAGTGAGGATGACCCTGCTGGGGCTGCAGTGCCTCAAATATTGGAGGAGGATGTCACCCCCTGTGAGTGGCTGGCTGAGGTGCAATCTGTTCAGTAAGTACTGAAGGCGATCGAGAGCCTGAGACCAGGAAAGGCACCGGGCATATATGATCTCCCAAGTGAAATGCTGAGGGAGGGTGGCGTTTGTGTGCAGACTGCCCTACATGACATAATAACAACAATCTGGGCCACTGGACGGGTTCTGCAGGATTGTAAGGATACCCTGGTGGTCCCCCTCTTTAAGAAGGGGGACCGCACAGACTGTAACAACTACAGGGGCCGGGAAAGGTCCTGGCAAGGATTATTCAACATCGCCTTGCTAGGCACTCTGAGGCGAGGCTTGCGGAGCCCCAATGTGGTTTCAGGAAAGGGCGGTCCTGCACAGATGCCATATTTTCTGTCCGTCTGCTACAACAGAGGTGTAACGAATTTCAAAAAGACCTACATCTGTGCTTTATTGACCTGGTCAAGGCCTATGATACCATCAGTAGGCCTGGGCTCTGGGTTGTTCTTCGTGCTTTTGGAATCCCTGACCCTCTGCTCACGATCATTAAGGACCTTCATGATGGTGAGCAGGGCCGGGTAAAGCTATGTGGCTGGGAGTCAGAGCCATTCCCTGTACACCTTGGGGTGCGACAGGGATGTCCTCTGGCTCCAACATTATTTAACATCTATTTCGACCACGTAGTTCGTGAAGCCTTCAGTAGCTGTACCAGAGGATTTTCCATCTGGTAGAGATACAATGGGAGGCTAATCGATGCCCGGTTGCAGTCAAGGGATGGCTCCCGATTGGTCAACCACATTATGTATACCGAGTTTCCCATACCTGGGCAGTGTGCTTATGACCGGCTCCGGTTTAACAGCAGAGGTCTCACTCCGAATAAGTCGGGTGGCAATATATTTTCTTCGGTTGCGTAACGCTGTGTGGAAGCTACCTGGTCTGTCGCTCCGCACGAAGCTTCGGGTCTTCTCGGCCACAGTCATTCCCTTCCTTCTCTACGCTTGCGAAACGTGGACCCCCCTAATGGAACATCTTCGCCGGTTAGAAACATTTAGGCTAGCCTGCCTACTATCAATCCTGGGTTTAACCAGGCTGGATTGTGTGAGGAGCTCACAAATCCTCGAAAGATCTGGACGAAGTCCCATCGGTGAGCACCTCCGGTAGGCAAGGCTGCGTTGGCTGGGTCATGTAGCCCGCATGCCCAATCACCGCATGCCCAAACAGCTTTTGTTCGGCCGGATTGAGGGGGCTAAACGGGCGCGGAATGGGCTAGAGAAGAGATGGAGTGACGTGGTACAGGCCGATGTGGAGCTGAGTGGACTTGCCGATGACCGGTACCAGCGGTGTCAAGATCGGCCTCTGTGGAGGAGGCTCGTGAAGGACGCTACTGGGCAGTTGGTGGCAGTCGCCCTCCAACAACAACAGAGGGTGGAAGAGCGACGCTCACAACAACGAGCGGAGCGCCGGGTGGCTTAAGCACAGCAGGTTGGCACAGTAGGGGGCACAGGTGGTGCATCAGCCAGTCATCTCGGTCATCTCAGTCAGTCGACCCGTGGCACCTGCTGGGTCTGCCCCGTGATCTCCTGCCAGCGGGTGTTCGACACTTCACGTGGCCTCAAGGTGCACGTGGCCTGGCACAAGCGTCGTGGTGACGTCACCGCCACTTAGTGGCGAATGGCGGTTGTTGTTGTTGTTGTCTGTGTGTGTCTATGTGTGTTTGTGTGTGTGTCTATGTGTCTATGTGTGTCTGTGTGTGTGTGTCTGTGCGTGCGCGCGCAGCCTGCAGCTGTCCAGCGGAACCGTGGACGTGAGTGTGGCCGCGTCCTTCCACGCAGCCTGCGCCGACAACTGGAACGGTCACCTGTCCATCGCCGTGTGCCGACAGATCAGCCAGGGGTGAGTACAAAGGCAAAGGTGTCCCCCCCCCCCCCCCACCCTCCCCAGGGGTGGGTAAACTTTTTTCCTACCAAAGGCCATTTGGATATTTATGACATCATTCGCAAAATGATCAACTTAAATTATTAGCCCGTTATACTTGCTCCAACATTAAATTCACTCACCGCTAATGCGATGGGCTGGAACTGCTTCTCTATGGCGGGGCGTGGCGGTAGATGATGATGTCAGCTGGCTGTTGACGATGTTGTTGCTACTCGCGACTGCTTTTCCAGCTTTCGCTCCTACCTAGATTTGTTGAATGTTCGAGTCCCCCCGCCTGCGGTTGCCTTGGCCTGGGCCACACCAAATGATTTCGCGGGGGGCCTCGTCCGGGCCCCGCGGGCCTGACGTTCCCCACCCCTGCCTACATAGCCTTCAGCGATCAGTTGGGGCAAGTGCCGTGTTCTAGCGAGGCACACGTGGAGGCCGGCGGTGGGGAAAGAGGAGTCACCGACGCGGTTTTCCACTCGCCGTGCCGTGCCGTGCCGTGCCACAGGCCCCCGAGGTACGCGACGTCGGTGCTGGCCTCCGACTACAACTTCACGAGCTTCGCACTCGTCATCAACACGCCGGAGAAACCCGTCAAGTACCTCCAGGTGACGCGTGACGATGTGTGACGAGGTGGGGGGAGTGGTCAGACATTTGTGACGATGTGTGACGAGGTGGGGGGGGGGGGGAGTGGTCAGATATTTGTGACGATGTGTGACGAGGTGGGGGGGGGGGAGTGGTCAGACATTTGTGACGATGTGTGATGAGGTGGGGGGGGGGGGGAGTGGTCAGATATTTGTGACGATGTGTGACGAGGTGGGGGGGGGGGGGAGTGGTCAGACATTTGTGACGATGTGTGACGAGGTGGGGGGGGGGAGTGGTCAGACATTTGTGACGATGTGTGACGAGGTGGGGGGGGGGGGAGTGGTCAGACATTTGTGACGATGTGTGACGAGGTGTGGGGGGGGAGTGGTCAGACATTTGTGACGATGTGTGACGAGGTGGGGGGGGGGGAGTGGTCAGACATTTGTGACGATGTGTGACGAGGTTGGGGGGGGAGTGGTCAGACATTTGTGACGATGTGTGACGAGGTGGGGGGGGAGTGGTCAGACATTTGTGACGATGTGTGACGAGGTGGGGGGGGAGTGGTCAGACATTTGTGACGATGCGTGATGAGGGAGGGGGGGGGGGTTGAGAAATGTGACGTCACATCCAAATCCGCAACTTTAAATAAATATAGGCAACACGTTCTACTTAATCAAATAGACTTTTTGATAAATGTTTTCTCCTACAACATCAGGGTGCAGCGCCACATTAAACACGCAACTACAATGATATGTTTTATTTTTTGTGGGGGGGGGGGTGGAGGCAGAGCTTTGTGACGTCATATTTGAGGAGGGGTCTGATTTTTTGTGACGCCGTGTGACGAGGGGGGTCAAAAAAATCGTCCAAAATCGCGTGACGTAATTTATGGACGGCCCCTTATGACAGCCACGGTGATGACGATCGTGTGATCCCCCCCCCCCCCATACCACAGCGAGAGGTGGCCTGGGTTCGATTCCCGACTCGGGCAACCCTCTTTCTGTCTGTCTGTTAGATTAGGGGTCTCGGCTCAACACTACGGTCACAGAGATGGGGGGGGGGGGAGGGGGGTGCTGCGGTGGATGTTGGGTTGAAGGAGGAAGGAAAGGGCGAGCGATGAAGGAGAGGAACGACTCAAGGTGGTAGAAATCGCAGGGAAAAACATTACAAATATTACATAGAAAACAGGGGGAACGTAGACGTAGAGTATGGAGAGAGGGGGGGGGTAGAGAGAGGGGGTGAAGAGAGAGGGGGGGGGTAGAGAGAGGGGGTAGAGAGAGAGGGGGGGGTAGAGAGAGGGGGTGAAGAGAGAGAGGGTAGAGAGAGGGGGTAGAGAGAAAGGGGGGGGGGGGGTAGAGAGAGGGGGTAGAGAGAAAGGGGGGTAGAGAGAGGGGGTGAAGAGAGAGGGGGTAGAGAGAGGGGGGGTAGAGAGAGAGGGGGTAGAGAGAGGGGGTAGAGAGAGGGGGGTAGAGAGAGAGGGGGTAGAAAGAGGGGGTAGAGAGAAAGGGGGATAGAGAGAATGGGGGGGTAGAGAAAGGGGGGTAGAGAGAGGGGTAAAGAGAGGGGGTAGAGAGAGAGGGGGTCGAGAGAGGGGGTAGAGAGAGAGGGGGGGTAGAGAGAGAGGGGGGGGGTAGAGAGAGGGGGTAGATTGAAAGGGGGGGGTAGAGAGAGGGGATAGAGAGAGGGGGGTAGAGAGAGGGGGTAGAGAGAGGGGGTAGAGAGAGGGGGGTAGAGAGAGGGGGTAGAGAGAAAGGAGGGGGGTAGAGAGAGAGGGAAGGGGTAAGAAGGAGACCAGAGCGTGAAATCTTTCGTGAAATCTTTCACTAAAAAAAACGGTGGGGGCGGAGGGGGGGGGTGTTACATAAATCAAAACATTGAAAAAAACAAAACTCCGAGATGACGAACGAGGCAACGTGCCGACGACACCGAGCGTCTTCTCCTTCTTGCTTCCTCCGAGCCTAACAAAACAAAAAGAGGTGGGGGCTGCGCGGGCGAGGTTCGGGCGTGTGGAGACACAGCAGGACGACCACGTGGGTGAGAAGGTGGCGGGTGACGCGAGTGGTAAGGAAAGGGATGGAGAGGAAGGCAGAAGGAGAAGTGGTTGGTGGTGGTGGTGGTGGGAAGGGTGGGGGGGGGGCGATGTAGTGCGATCGTACCACGTGGCCCTAGGAGCGGAAAGAGAGATGGCGCAGGACAGGGCAGCGTGGAGAAGGTTCGCAAGGACAGCGGAAAACACCTCCACACGCGGAAGAAGACGGAGTTCCACGCTACATTCTAGATTCATCCGGCACTGTATGGCAAGGCCGAAATGATAATAATATGCTCAAAATGCCCCCCCCCCCCCACCGCCCTCCCCCCCAATATATCGCTATAAAATCGATTTCCGTTGATATGATTGCGGTTATGGTTGTACTTTATTAATCCCTAATCTCTGCCATCACATACAATGTAAACAAGAGAAGGTAAACAAAACAGTAAAAAAAAACAGAGCAATGTAATACACTAACACTATTAGACATTATTGTCAAAAAAATAACTTAAAAAGTCCATCCTATGTGTTCGGGAATTTTAAAAAATATATATTCGGCAGGAAATTCGTTTTATTTTAAATTTATGGCTACGGCATTTGCTGTATGGGACCCATTTTTGTGTGTGTGTGTGTGTGCCAGTATCAAGATGCTTGTGGCGCTGTCCCTTGTGCTGTTCGCCTGGTGGAGGCCCAGTCAGTTTCCAGGACAAAGCTTTACACATTTAGTAATGGGTTTTTACCCTTTTATCTGGCACAAAAACTGACACCTTTATGCAGGGGGATCATGTTTGCGATAACCACAGCACAAGTAGTTAAAATGCAAACAAAAAAGAGACAGCACTGTCCTTGAATTTGATTGGTCCACACCCGAGACGGCTTTCTTTAGAGCCCTTAGTCTCCACTGGTGTTGGACCAGAAGATGCCAAAAGGCGTGGAGACTGGGCTCTAAGAAGAGCCGTCTCGGGTGTGGACCAATCAAATTCAAGGACAGTGCCAATATCATTATCAGAGTTGTCTCTTTTTGTTTCCATTTTGACTACTTGTGTTGTGGTTATTTCAAACATGATCCCTTGCATAAAGGTGTCAGTTTTTGTGCCAGCTAAAAGGGTAAAAACCTATTACTATATCTTGTTAGTGGCAAAGGAGGTCTCATAAAGCTTTACGCATTGTTATCAGGGCGTGTTTGTTTGCACGAGTGTATGGCTGCGATGAATGAACACGCGGCGATTAGCCCACGTCGTATAACTATCGCTTGCGATGGTTCGGGTCGCTTCTGACAAGATAGGCGGACAGCTCAGATTGGTGCGGCCTTGCCTGGTCAAATACGAGTGGTTTAAATCGTGGGGACCTTTCTTTGCCGGCATCAAACTCTCACAATAGGTGTTACCCCGTCTGGCCATGATAAAACGGTTGTGTTATTAATTGTTGAAACACCAAACAGAATCCATTTTGCAAGGAATCCTGTTTGCATTCACACACAGACACCCAGACCCTTACAGAGACCCATAGATACACACAGATATCCATAGACTCACAGAGGCACCCATAGCATGGTTGGGTAAGTATGGTTGCGAAAGAAGTTCAACATAACATACACAGAGATCCACAGAAACCCAGACCCACAGAGACCCATCGAAACCCACAGAGACCCATAGACTCACAGAGACACCCATAGCATGATTGGGTACGTATGGTGCGGAAGAAGCTCAACGTAACATAACATCCATACGTCGAGATCCACAGACACCCAGACCCACAGAGACCCACAGACCCACAAAGAGACGCTCATAGCACGCACGGGTGGCTGCGTACGGTGCGAAAGAAGTCCAACATATATCTCAACACCATAAAAGAGCTTTTTTTGCCGGTTCGATCGCGTAAATATATGAATGTGTTATCAAAACCCGCCACCACCCGTCATGGCCAATAAGTAAAGGTTGTGTCACGTAAACAGAACGTGTTCAGCAACTAACCGGTTGTGTGTTTGGGAGCATAAGACCCACAAGGACTCCTCCTCCCGTGTCGAGCAGAAAAATTCAGTTTTCGTAATTGCCCCGAACGCCGCACGGGCGGATTTATCTTCGGCAGAGCGCCATCGGTGCTGTGACTACCAAGTGTCCGAGCGAGAGGCTGATCTTCGTGGCGTGCGAGCCAAATGAGTGTGGCCTGCAGCCAGCTCTCCAGTCTTCGGGTCGTGTCGTCAGTGAGTGGCACTAGCTCGCTCACTCACTCAGACTCACTCGCTCACAGTCACTCATAGTCAATCACTCACTCATTCATAGTCACTCACTCATAGTCACTCACTCACTCAGACTCACTCACTCAGACTCACTCACTCAGACTCACTCACACACTCAGACTCACTCACTCATAGCCACTCACTCACTCATACACTCACTCACTCAGACTCACTCGCTCACTCACTCACTCATAGTCACTCACTCGCTCGCTCACTCATAGTCACTCACTCACTCACTCAGACTCACTCACTCGCTCACTCATACTCACTCAGGCTCACTTGCTCACTCACTCACTCATAGTCACTTGCTCGCTCACTCATAGTCACTCACTCACTCACTCAGACTCACTCACTCAGTCACTCACTCAGACTCACTCACTCAGACTCACTCGCTCGCTCATAGTCACTCACTCACTCATAGTCACTCACTCACTCACTCAGACTCACTCACTCGCTCACTCACTCAGACTCACTCACTCAGACTCACTCGCTCGCTCATAGTCATTCACTCACTCATAGTCACTCACTCACTCACTCAGACTCACTCACTCGCTCACTCACTCAGACTCACTCACTCATACTCACTCACTCATAGTCACTCGCTCGCTCACTCACTCATAGTCACTCACTCACTCACTCATAGTCACTCACACACTTAGACTCACTCACTCACTCATAGTCACTCACTCACTCATACTCACTCACTCATAGTCACTCGCTCGCTCACTCACTCATAGTCACTCACTCACTCACTCATAGTCACTCACACACTTAGACTCACTCATAGTCACTCACTCAGACTCACTCATTCATGGTCACTCGCTCGCTCACTCATAGTCACTCACTCACTCAGACTCACTCACTCAGACTCACTCACTCAGACTCACTCGCTCGCTCATAGTCACTCACTCACTCATAGTCACTCACTCACTCACTCATTCAGACTCACTCACTCACTCACTCGCTCACTCACTCAGACTCACTCACTCATACTCACTCATAGTCACTCGCTCGCTCACTCACTCATAGTCACTCACTCACTCACTCATAGTCACTCACTCATTCACTCATAGTCACTCACTCACTCACTCAGACTCACTCACTCATAGTCACTCGCTCACTCACTCATAGTCACTCACTCACTCAGACTCACTCACTCACTCATAGTCACTCACTCACTCACTCAGACTCACTCACTCATAGTCACTCACTCACACACTCAGACTCACTCACTCGCTCATACTCACTCATAGTCACTCAGAGCCACTCACTCACTCAGACTCACTCACTCATAGTCACTCGCTCACGCTCACTCACTCAGACTCACTCGCTCGCTCGCTCACTCATAGTCACTCACTCACTCAGACTCACTCACTCGCTCACACTCACTCACACTCATCCTCGCTCACTCACTCACTTACTCACTCACTCACACTCGTCCTCGCCTGCTCACTCACTCACTCACACTCACTAACACTCGCTCACGCTCAGCCTCACTCACGCTCAGCCTCGCTCACTTACTCACTCACACTCTCTCACACTCGTCCTCGCTTGCTCACTCACTCGCTCACACTCACTCACTCATCGACTCACTCACACTCACTCACTCACCGACTCACTCACACTCACTCACTCACTCACCGACTCACTCACACTCACTCACTCACACTCACTCACTCACACTCACTCACTCATTCACGCTCACTAACGCTCATCCTCGCTTGCTCACTCACTCGCTCACACTCACTCACTCATCGACTCACTCACACTCACTCACTCACCGACTCACTCACACTCACTCACTCACCGACTCACTCACACTCACTCACTCACACTCACTCACTCACACTCACTCACTCACACTCACTCACTCATTCACGCTCACTAACGCTCATCCTCGCTTGCTCACTCACTCGCTCACGCTCCGCTCTGCGTGCGTGCGAC